CACATCGATATTTAGTACAAGACTTGTAAGCAATACAGCCTTGAGGACTTTCCAGTTATATCAATGATTGTTATAAAAGGGCAGGCTTGATAAAATCGGCGGACAGAATTTGTAAGCGTGGTTTTACTCAAAACAATTCAAACTTCTTGACAACAGCAAGAACCCCATGATAGATCACTATGGTTTTACTCAAAACAATTCAAACTTCTTGACAACAGCAAGAACCCCATGATAGATCACTATATGCTATCAATAATTCCCCCTTAATACAAACTGCGTGTTTATAATCATTGTCACTGTGATTTCCGTCATCCGAGGTTCGTCAGGGTCACTGTCATTTGTCAATACGTTTGCCATTGTCAGTATCTTCGATATCACTGTCACACTGTCACAACACCAAACCATAGAGAACACATGATAAAATGAACGATATCATTGTCATGTACTTGCCATGCTATTAGAATGTTACCACAATTCACACACTCTCAACCCAACAATATAGTCCGTCTGAAGCCTAATAAATAAATGACAGCAACTTACTGTCTGGTTCTATCACGCCACACTGTCCTGATCTTGCAAGATAGAACACATTCCAAAATCGTCAGCCACGGGCACTATGGCAGCTGGCCTCAACAGGTCAGTTCAATTACCCGATTATAATAAACTCCACTCACGGATGCAAGAATTATGCTTCTGATACAGTCAGTAGAATATACTACAGTCTACGGTACGCATAATTTTTTATGCGTGAACCGCCCATATACATGATACGTCGTGTTAACTCTATTTTTATTTCTATCGCGTAATTATGCATGCAATATCAAAACGAGCATTGTATTGTATTGCAAGCGCGCTGCGCGAGTAATATTTGAAGGTCGAACATACTTTAATTTTGGTCATTTTGTGGACAGAACTGTCGCACGTGCTTACAATAATTGTATACTTTACTACCTGCAGAAAGGAGTGATGCGGGCAAGCACTAGTGAAACCTTGGTGCATTTAATTATGCGTGCGAATCTGTGCTTGACATAGAAACGACCATGACTTCTAAAAGAAATCAAGCAAAGATGAGGGTTAAAATTTAAAAGCAGAGAGACCATCTTTTTGGGGATAAATTCAGCAATATCTATTCAATTCCCTAGATGCATTATGTTTTTCATTCATCATTAGCGTGATAATTGTATAACGATTACGAGGAGGATATATTCTGTGATTTAGAATTACCAACGGTGATTCGTCTCAACCAACCCCGTCTCCGCTTCAAAACATTGCAAATTTGACAAAATAATGGCAAATATTCAAAACAAAGACAACATTTAGAGCTCCTCTCAAGAATAATTTCAACGCGGTATAGTGCGGCATTTTGACGCAGTTCTCTTGATTCTTCTGTGGCAGTCAATTTAGAATGTCTCTTGGGCGTTGAAGTAGCGCGTCTTAGTGCGTGTTAATTGAAGAGCATCTCACGGGGCACGGATGTGACGGGTGACGAAGGCTCGCCAGGCCTGCAGCCCCTCACCTCGATATCCTCCTGTGCCACACTGACCAAACCGCTTGCTAAAATGAGATACTTGGGTCGTCAATTACACCCGTTAGGCATTGAAAATGAATGATGGGCGGAGGAAACCTTTAAGACGTTTTGGAATCTCAGCACAAATTGGACTGCGAGTATAAAGAGGCAGCACGATCAATTTTATTTTATGAAAACAAATGAATGTTAATTGGACTCTTTGGTTTAGTAATGCTTCGCGTAGAGAGAGCATTTCGAGGATTTCTACCTTACCAACGTAAAAACGTATTATACGAAAAACGTCGTCGTGGCAATGTCATCATATCACAGTGTAACATCTACATAGTTACAACCTTCTTGCGCGATAACAAGATTAAAAGCAAAAACTCATGACAGCTACAACCTCGTCCGATTACAATAACATCAAGCCTCATCACATTAATAATCTCAATATATTTATAACATTGCGATAACCCGATTACTGTTATAACCTCAGCACGTTCACGGCATAACTCAATTGGTAAAGCTGGTGCTGTCTCAACACTCCGTACTGCGTAGTTTAACTCACGCAAATCCACATAGCCGCCTCTCACTCAACCATGAGGAACAATTTACTCTACAAACTGATGTTTATAAATTAAGGCATGAACATCCAAATGCAATAAACGGAATGATGAGAGACATTGGACAAAAAAAGATACATGCTGGCTGACATGTTCCATCTACATCGCCTGCTGGAGTCATCATATAAATATTTACATGATTATAATCACGCATATATAAAGCAGGCAGTATACCAAAGATATGGACATCGGTTTGTAAAGAGGTTTTCCAGCAACTAAGACTGACGTAATGAAGGAACCAATAAGGCATATTGTTATAACATATTTTTTTGCACTTTTCTTCTTGATTAAAAGCTAATCTGTCGCTGGACGTAACACAAAACAAATAAAATACAGCTTGGGTTGGGGTTGTGCCTATATATCAAGATGTCGTTTAGTTCAGATAATTGTTTAAAACAGACAGCGACGGATTTTGTAAATTTCTTTTAAGTCTTTTCTAACTTGGTTCATAAGCCAAATATGGCTGTCTGCCACTGCATGAGCGTACATCCTTAGCACTTTGTGCCCATGGACCATCTCAATTGTCTTGATTTAGTTTGTCTTTCTGTTTCCTCTGCACCTAAAGCCGCATGTGATATGGCGGTACCATACCATGCACGATTCGCTATAGTCAGAATACCGTGATTTGGAATACTAATTATTGAACCAGATGTGATGATACATGCCGCCTCAATAATTATGGTGAAGTGATTGCATTATTGTCAAAAAAGCATATTTATTTCAAAATAAGCACTAATGCATTCTGCCTCCAGAAATGACTATAGCTGGATGAAAGCATAAACATTTAAATTAAAAACAAATATTTAAATAGGGTAAGACCTTTAATTTGAACGAACGCATTGGGTAAAATTGAACACATTGGACAATTTCCGAGAGCGAATGACAAAGTGTCAACTATTGTTTACAATCTTAAAGCGAACACGAACGCGAAATGACTTCATTCAGATTTTTTTTTTGGGGGGGGGGGGTGAAAAGGAGCTGTTTTCCTTGCGATCTTTGTTCTTATAAGATGAATACAAAAAAAGCTTCACTGAAAGTTTTTAAGTTAATCACCTGCGAGCTTCCTGCTCCATTCTCCAGAAATGAGACGACTGAATAATATTTGCCAGTGGAATACATCCTACTGAGTATTCTGACATTATAATTAATTAAACTGTAATAATCTATAGGCCTACTTTACTAATGCAAATACTTCAATCAGACGGGTTAATTTACTTCCGATTATATTTTCGTCAAGCCAGTCCCGATTCTCAGACCGTCATTAGTTGCGATGGTTCATTTTTAATATCGTGTTAGGATTGACGCATTTTTTGCTGTTAGTTTTATTAATTGGATACACTGTAAAAATAAAATGTCAAACTTCCTTGAACTACGATGCAGCGATATTCATGTCACACGCCACGATACATGTTTATGGAAGGGTAATACTTGCTGACATTTATTCTAACCCAGACATTTTCCGGTTCATTGTATATTTCATATCTTTTTTATTTATAGGTCAGACTCCGTCTCTGCTAAAAGCCTGTCCGCAGTCCCGACGATCATATTCATTTCCGTGGCGTCGTATGGAATGAATAACGAGTTCATTAAAAAGAAAAGCCATGATTTCATTATCTGCAAGGGCGATCGCCCATAATATACGAGGAAAATCTTCCAGTCACGACGCTTTTCTTGAGGTTTACAATAGAAATACCGCTAATGATTGAAACTGGGAAAAGTCACGGTCAATTTTCGTCCAATTTCTCCCTCGCAATCTCCTATACACATCCAGCTGGAATTTACAACCACGCATGCCTTCAACGCATTTTATTAGAGACACGAAAGCAAGACCTCCGAGATCACGCGGCAAAAACCGACATTCGTTATATTTTTCAATGTTCAGAGTTCGGGTTAAGTAAAGTAAAACGGATTTATGTAGGCAGGATATTCAGAAATTCGGCATTACTCAGTGGGACTCGTGAAGGCGCGCCAATAATAGACGTTGACATCCCCAATGTTCATGTTTAAGCAGTCAAGTATGCAAGAACTCATCATTTAAATTAACAATTGCTTTTTGCCCGAAGTTAGAAACCGCTCTTCACTTTGTGACGATGAACATTAAGATGCCTTTCCGGAGCTTCTTTATCTCGGCAAAAAAAAACTATCACCTTCAGGCCAAAACAGATATAGTTGAATGGGTACACAATGCCGTATATTTACCAAGTAAGGAGACTGAATGTTGAAGCACTGCTCAGTGAGAATGATGTTCCATGAAAAAGGGTCTTTGTTAGGGTTGGCGCAATCGATACAAGACAGGTAAAACATGAATCGATTCCAGGCGCAGCCAGGGCAGGGGGTATAGTTCGGCAAGTCATGGAGTCTTTGGAGATAATTAAAAATAAACCTTGCTTGATTGAATCCATCTCAAAAGTTCATTAACCTTTTGTTCACCAATGAAGATGGGAATCCACAGGAAGAGTCCATGTGGATCTGATGGAGGATAAATGTGAAGATCGTTTTCTTTTGGCAATAGATATATTAGATAATTTCACCACTTGGTAGTCAGTATCTACATTACAGTCATATCAGTACATATAGCGTAGCTTGCTTTATAGGTTTAATGTGATCGAATTTAAACATTAATAAAGTGCTTCTCACAATGATTTTTAAGACGAATGAACCAGTTTTTTGTGTCCATCGAAACTGACAACACTGGAGAACCTCTAAATAGGTATACATGTCTTAAAGCAACCAAGCATTTTCGAGAATTTCAGTGTTACATTTTTAATTTACTTTGTTCACAAAATTCAGTTATTATATTGACATGCACATGAAGAGGATGGGCCTAGAACTATTGATTTTCACAGTACAATAAAGCGTTCTGCACGTACCTTGAGTACAGTGTATTATCCTCACCGACGGGTGTTCGTTAATACACGGTGAACTCAGTATAGTCTCCGTAAGATATCCAGGTCCTTCAGACATAGCGTTAGCCTCCAGGATAATCGCCCATTATCAGCGGTTGAGGCAGCAAGGGTTGCGAAGACTTTAGACGCACACTACCATGGCTCTTGAGAAAGGAATGCAAGAAGGAAATTATGGAAATTCAAACTTTTATATGGGGATGACGGTTAAGACGCACGTCAGCATCTCGAACGAGCTCTTGGTGATAGACGGAGGATATCTAGTCGATTCTTCACTTTCAACCAGAATAGCGGATTTTACTTTCCACAATAGTTTACAGCAAAGTGAGCTGATGTGACGTATAGGCCTACACGGGTCCCTGTTGCTACGTTCACTCGAACGGGGATGTTGCTGTCACACATTATGAACAATAGGACTGATCCTCTTACCCTGAACTGAGCCAACCCAAGAACACAATGACAGTTATCCTGCGGCACTGGAAAACATCATCCCGAACGCCACAATGTCCATAAAAACGTGTGCAGTGAATGGTTGGGCGGCAACAGTTCCAATCCGCATCTAGCTGGCTCAACGTGATAATCAAAAACGCTACGGCTGTTCTGTGTCGTTAATTGCAGTATAATTTCGGTTTTACTCTTCTTAACAGTGGCCGCACTCAAGGGGGCGGGGGTGGGGGCTGGGGTGGGGGGGGGGGAGACTCGTTTGGACGGTTGCTTAAAATGTTTTTCTTTTCACAACGATCGAACTTTCTCTGCATTTGCGATTAATTTTTTTCATAATTGAAGGGGGGGGGGGTGTTACTTAACACACTTGCTTGAGGCATATTCCCATGTAACTAGTGCCGTTTATGTGGATGGTCTGGATTCCGGGTCGTGTCGGTACGTGATGGATCGACAGGTTCTAATTAGGGCAAGCAAGCACAACCATCAGCAGCTTCTCTTAAGATGGATACAGCCACCCCACCATCCCATCCTTTTAACCATAGAGCTATGTTTTAGCCATCTTAAAAAAACACAAGATGGCGTCGTAGGACTTGGATGAACCTTTTGGGAGTAGTAGATAAGAGAGGAGATTGGTATAATCTAAATTAAATGATGCATATCTTCACATGATATAAGACATTTCCGTATACAATTTCAAGCCAATGCGAGTGGTTTGGATTAACTGATCTGTGGTTTACAAAGTAATAATAAAATGTCAGGAGAAACGAGATACTATAAGTTTATTTTGCAATATTTCATTCCCTCATTCTGCAAATATGGGCCTATCGAAAAAAGCAATTATCCCTTTACCACTATTCCTGATATTTATACAGGGCGAGTAAAAAAAATGTGGAACAAAGTTAAAAAGAAAGAAATATATTTCACATATATATATAAAAAAAAATGTTACACCAAAATAAAGTATGACTTGGCAGCCCATTTATTAAAATACTTTTATGTGAGAGAGTCATTTTAATTGCTCTACAAAATTTATCACTATTAAGTAATCCTAAAATCAGTTTCGTCCAAAAAAAAAGAGCAATTTATTGTATGTTCTGACTGTTTGGAACAACAAAGAAAATGACACAGCATACTTGTTTCAACAACTGTAGTACACAGTATCTTTATGAACAACCCTGCTTTGGCTAACAATAGGATTAAACAATACATTTTGTTTTATAAAGACGGGCCTTTTTAAATATTTTAAACTGAGGTTTTATCGCTGGGGATATTTGAAGATAATTGTCACGACAATTCTTGAAATCGCCCTTTTGGACGAAACAGATTTTATGGTCATTTCGTTTAAATGGTGACACAATTTGAACGGATCGAGTTGTAGTATTTTTTCATCCAAAAGGAGCGTATTAAGTTGGCCTACCAGTCATATAATTAGTTTTGGTGCTACATATTTTTTTAAATATAAAATATATTTCTTTGGGTCTGGGTTCCGCTTTTTTTTTTACTCGCCACGTATGACACCCACATCAAGTAAGGTTTTACTGAAAGGCGTGAATTCCGCCGTGTCATGCAAAGGGTTGGCCTGTCAACCGTTAATACTGCTGATTCCAAACACAAGAAATAAATGCTGGTATAAAATATGCAAACCATATCGAGTAGCTGTTGCTGGCACGACTACAATAAGAATTCAATAACCAAGATTTTGTTCAACAAAGTAGGCCTATTATGCCTAAAATCGACTCCACTGAAGGTCTAAAAATGTGGATCTAATCAAAGCAAAGCGCAATCTATCGTTACGAGGTTTAAACCCTACATGTACCCACAGTTATCTGGTCTGTGTGTACGATCATGGAGCTTTAGCTTCATGGTACGATTAAGAAAATCGGGAATACCGAAGTCGTTTGTTAATTTTGATTCACCGACATTTGTAAAGTTCATAATAAGAGAGGCGAATGGCTTTGTAGAAATGTATTTCTTTGAAAAGAGTTCCATAATTCTATGAATTTAAAGAAGTTAATCCATTATGCTGGGGAGTATTTTGCCAAGAACTTGACACAATTCGATCTTTATCTGCCATGTAGCACAGACGAGTAAACAACGAGTCGGTAGGCCACACATTCACAAGGTGGATATGGTAAAACTGGCAGATCGTGTACATTTCAGAACGGTGAACTAAATAGTACCGGGCGTACTAATTGACTACGTCAGGCATATTGTACCGAGTAAACCTCGCCGGCCATGATACAAGAGGTATTCAAACGGCGACAAAAATAGATACTTTAAAAAATGCTGGTATCTCAAATTCAAGGACATCCACCTGTCACCAAAGTAATCCACAGACTAATATGACTCTAAAACTCAATATTAATATATCGTTTATTCATCTGGTCCCTGATCCCTTACTATTTCGCACGAATAGAAAAAAACACCGTAAAAAAAACCTTGTCAAAACACATTTCTATCATGCGTACACAGTTCTATCAAGCAATTAAAACTCGTACATCTATAAGATGTAGACCTACATAATGCTACAGTGGTCTGCTCAGAGCTTTTTCCCGCTCGACCGTTAATTGAATGCTCTCTACAAACAGCCAGTGTTTATTGTGAGAATCAAATGATTAAGGACAATGTTCTTCAAATATTAATAAAGTGCACCCCACTAGCGCTAACCAATCGCAAATAGTCACTAACAGAGTCCATCCGCAATATAGATGACCGCCTTATTAATTTCCTTATGACTGGGATTGAAAATCCAATTAAGATTTGGAAAGATGGGCTAGAGTGTAAATTAATGATGGCCCGGCTGCTTCATAATGTGTTCTTACAATAAAAGGTTTGAGAACTATTATAGTAACACAGTTCACCAATGGTTGGGGAGGGAATCAGCCATATTAAATTGAAAGCGAGGTAAATTCTTCATTTTTGGAACTTGCAAGTAGAAATGAAAGCAATGAATTAAAAATGTATTACAAGGTAACACCAGTTTATAATTTAACATTTGTAATTAAACATATCCTAATGTTTTAAGCCACATTAATTAAAAAAATGAAATCGAGGCTTGGCACCTACCATGACTCCAGTTATAATTTAGTCTGGTACCATCCCATTCAACAGTTACAATTTGTAAAATAGATTCAGGGAACACGATCGAAAATGGCTTCAGCGTAAAAAAAGGTCTTGGCCTATGCCCTTATTTCACTGGACAATGAATGCATATCTTTGGTTGACGATTTGTCTATCCTCAACATCATTATAATACATAGCTAAAACAGCCTGATGACCGTATGTCCAAACTCGTCCTATTATGTACACTGTACAAGCTGCATCTCATTCCCGTCCCTCCATCACGCCCATTAAAAAAGGTGAAACTTGCATGCAAAATAGAGGCCAGGGATAATATTGCCTGAAGCCTGTTGTATGTGTTTTAGGTAAGGTAGGAGCCTGTCGCTACCACAAGGTGTGCAGGGGAAAGCTGATCAGTGTAAAACAAAATATGAATGCAGTAACACGCATGCCTAAGGCACTGCCTCATAATATAGACAGGTCATTGACCTTGCACAGGTAAATCACCTAAAAGAAACAATGTAATGTAGAAGTCATATGCATAATCATACAATGATACCATCAATGGTGTGTGATGACTGGGTGTATGTGTAACTTTATTCACATACATTTTAATACAATCAAACAACACAGCAAAGAAGCTGACAACACAACAAAGAACAAACTCACAATTTTAAAGGAAATTAAAATAAAATAAAAAACGGAACAATATGCAACCTATTTATAAGCAGTGCAAGTATAGACTCAAAATGGCAGATTATTGTGGACAGCCTCTAAAATCTGATACCAGCCAGTGCATCAATTATCAAATCGACCTACGGGTGAGCCTAATTTAAATATCAAATTGGATGTGTCGTACAGATATAGCTACAGTTCTACAGCTATGAACATTTGTCATGGTGCACTGCAAGACAACCAATAATATATCAGAGGCACAAGGCTGACCAGGTCACCAAGATGGCTGACCCGGTCACCAAGATGGCTGACCTAGTCCCCAAGATGGCTGACCTGGTCACCAAGATGGCTGACCTGGTCACCAAGATGGCTGACCCGGTCACCAAGACGGCTCCACCTGGTCACCAAGATAGCTGACCCGGTCACCAAGATGGCTGACCTAGTCCCCAAGATGGCTGACCTGGTCACCAAGATGGCTGACCTGGTCAAAAGATGGCTGACCTGGTCACCAAGATGGCTGACCTAGTCCCCAAGATGGCTGACCCGGTCACCAAGATGGCTGACCTAGTCCCCAAGATGGCTGACCTGGTCACCAAGATGGCTGACCTGGTCACCAAGATGGCTGACTCGGTCACCAAGTTGGCTGACCTAGTCCCTAAGATGAATGACCAGGTCACCAAGACGGCTCCACCTGGTCACCAAGAAGTTTATTACCTGTAGTCCGTGCTCTCAGCAGCAGTTGTGGTACACTGAAAAATACTCTTCTGAAGGAACTTAGGTTTAAAATGGTGCATGAATTGTTCTTGTTCCAATTAAAGATTTGTCACGTCGTTTGAACAGCTGCCTCACATTCCTCTGACTGTTCTTCAGTTTGTTCATCCTCTTCACTTGTTGCTCTGGTAATTGTTTTCTGACTGGATCTACCACTGACCAGATTGTCTTCTCCTTTTGTGTCTAAGTTCATCCTTTGTTTTTCTCTGAGTAAGGAACATGCCCATTTCAAGTCCTCTTCCCACAATTCATTGTCACATGGGTTCAGGTGAATGGCCTTGGAAAAACTTGATACTGCCTGTAAGAAAGAATATATTGCAAAATACTGATGAACACTTAAACTAAATTTCTAAATTCTTGTCCAATGATTAAAAGTTTCTCATTGTTGAGCTATCACATTCGCTGAATAGAAAATGTTACCATTTTAATTTCTCCAAGTCCAAGTTGTGCTCTCCCAAGTGTTTGATGAGCTGCCCACCATCTTGGGTTTAACTTGACAGCTGACACAGCAGTCTGTACTGCTGGGAATACCTCATGAAGAATAAGTAAGGCCTGAAACACAAAGGAAGTAATGGGAATGGTAGCAAATTGTCCTCTTTTTCTTTCTCCATGTTTTGAAACCCCACAAGGATCATTTGCGGTTACCCAAAATCCATGTTTTGTAAAAGTAAAAAAAATCTGTACTATGTTGTTATAACATAATGTTAGTTATAACAAACTAAGATTTCTCCCCCCCCCCAAAAAAATCCCTACACACCCACCTGTGCTTTCATATCTAAGATGTTTTCACTATCAGGGGTAAGTTGGAGAGCTTCATCCCATTTTGTGATTGCCTCCCAATACCTGCAGAATTCATTCCAAGAAAAATATATTTGCAGAAAATCAGAATGACCTTCACTGACTTATTTTAATGCCATAGTTTAACCAGCTCCCAAGGAATTCAACCAGAAACTTCAGGCTTTGTAACATTTTCATGGAACAGTTTTATTCTAGACATTTCCTGGGCCATTGCAAGTCACATGATCAAGTGATAAGTGCTAACTATGATATGGAACACCAAATGATATATTCAGAGCTGTCACGCTTGGGCTGGGTGGGGGGAGGGGTGTCTCCCTCCACTGATATGTACGTTTTTGCCCTCTCGAGAAAAAATGGACCTAGAAAACTAAATGAAAAAAAATTGGAAAATGTGATAAATGGATGTGAAGGTTGTACAATGCCGTTGATAATGTAGATAACTCCCTCCTTCCCCATTAAAAAACAAATACCGTGACTGTACCTTTCTGCCTCAGCCAAGATACTTCCTTCATCTTTAAGTCTCTTGCTCTTGGTTTTTGCATCCTCCAACAAGATGACCTTCCGTTGCTTGGCAACCTGCCCCCAATGGGACAAGGAAACATCACTCTCTACCCCGTCAGGGTCTTGCTGACCTGTGACCTCTTGAAATGTAGTGGCTGCTGACTTGGAAACATTGTCTCCTGCCTTCCGTTTCCAGCCAAAGGAAGTCATTTTATTGTAGATGGACTGTTGGACTGCATAATGGAAACAAGCAAACACAATTAAATTTACTAACAGACAGTAACAATAATATAATGTGGTTTTGAGATTGAAATTGCACAACTGGGGACTGAGGTCTGCAACTGCTCAAATAATTATTTACAACAGGCTAGGCACTGGCATTACAATTTGGTACATGAAACCAAAAAACCTATTCGGTCATGTTGGTTTGTAACTGTCACTTATTTTGAAGGGAAAAAATCCCCAACCCTCGGGCAAAATTTAAGTGACCCCCAAATGCCCACCCTAAGGCATGCAATACGTGACCAAATTCCGACATCGGACCTGGGGCAGCGCGGGAGAGGGGGGGGGGGATGTTTGATAGGCTCATATTTCATAAGAGCAAGAAAAAAGGGTACGTTAATAAGTTATAAGCATGGTCTGAAAAATTTCAAGTGTTTTCTCAGTAAATGCTTTAATATTTTCCCTGTAAAATTATACTTTTTAGGACGTTATCACTTTCTGATGGCTAATAGGTCACTACAGAGAATTCCTGATTTCTGATGTCGATGTATTCTCCATTTTTTTATAAGGTCTATATTGGCTAGACTAAAACATTTTCTTATTACAATTTTTATATTTAGTTATACCAGCTCAAATTTTCCAGTCATGCCAGTTCATACATTATGGTTAATTGCTATACACTAATCATACTTGTACGCCTATTGGTTGCATTTCCTGTCATTCGATTACCTCCCACTCTACTATGCCCCGCCCCACCCCAGTAGTGAGTACTACAGTACCAGTACTAAGGCAAAAAAAAAAGTCTCCTGAAGTCCTGTTTCTGGTATGCGCGCGCGTCGCAGTAGCCATGCACGTCGGCAAAATTAAAAAAATGTTATTCAATGTAGGACATGTAAGATGATGTCTCAAAACCGCCAAACTCACTGGTTTGACTGGAATCCTGCTGCTGCACAATTTTAACGTGTTTTTAGATGGTACTATAATAAGCTTTATGTGGCCTCTCTGGGCTCCAATACATTTTGCACTAAATTTAGTCGGGCACCATTTGCAGTCATCAGCCGAAATTTGAAGGAAAAAAAAGGGGGGGAAGCCCCTCGTCGCCGCACCACTTTGGGGGCAAGCTCCATACCAGAAACCGGAGACTTTTTTTTTGGCCTAACTCTTGCTTTTTCGTTTAGCTGGTGATAACAAAATGGTCGAGTTGAACTTTGAAGCGTTGGCAGGGCTGCTTTGACTTCGTGCCGCATGCAACATGTAACGTTATTATATATTCAGGACTCTAAACCAACTACGTACGACCTTCCTCTACGTGAATATAACGTCAGATAGAACAACCATACATTTACCATTTTACGATCGTGCGGTCACAACAAACATTTTACACATGACATGTAATGTAAACACTTCCGAAGATCCGATTAAAACGAATTTAACTCGGCACCCAACGATTTTTGAGCACAATTGTACGTTATTCTGTGGTCTTGCTCCCTAGCTTACCAAACAAACCCGCGCGAGTACGGGTGGTTTTGTATCGTCGGCAACGATTGGCTGATGCTCCCGGGTCAATTTAAATGCCACAACACAACTAGCTGCGCTGAACGCTGGATCGCATCGGTCGGCTGTCCACTGTGTGAATTTCGTCGGCGAAATAAGGTAGAATCCATCATGCTATCATGTCACTAGTTGAATGGATTTTAAAATCTTTCTTCCAACGGTACATTATGTACAACAGTACATTATTTTCCTTTGACCTTTCTTTGCTTTTTAAATTATCGTGATGGTGGGCTACGCCGGTCGCCGGCGTCGCCCGATTTAATATGTGCCCAATTTCTGGACATCATTTTATTAAAACGCCAGTGACAATCGTTAGGGCAGCCTTAAACGATTTTCAACTGCTATCATTACGGTATTGCAAAATCACCATTGCAATCTATCACAAGCTGGGTATCCGGGTTGCCACCGAGCTGCTGCTCAATGTTTTTTGTTTTTATACATAGCTTTCTTTACTTTCATGTTTTTAATGAAATTGTAATGGTATTTTAAATAAAATAGGTTTCATTTTCTTTTTCGTAATGCGTGGTTTTGGAGGATATTTTTAAAAGGGGAAATAAAGTCTGGGCAAGATTACCATATGCGAAGTTCACTAATTTTCCTCTGTATTGACTAACAAGCCCCCAGATAGCAATTTCATGTCATCAAAGTCATTTGAGCAGTGACAAAATACAAGCATTTTCTTAGAAAACACTTAGAATTTTTCAGTCCACTCTCGTAGGGTTTGTACACAGAGTGTTGAGTGAACTTCGTATATGGAAATCTTTCCGTTCTTGACTCTCCACAGACTTTGTACACAACCACTGAAGTGAAGTGGCGTCCGGATACTACAATGTACATGTGCATTCTTTCCCAAATAGATCACAGGGTTTCTTTAGCAAGTTTATCTTAAGGTTGCAGTTGCAGACCACTATTTAAATGAATTATTTGGAAGCTTTTAAACAAAGATTTAGGAACCACTTTTTAAAGCATGAGAACTTGAAGGTCAGGAATAAAACATCAAAGTTCACCTCCAATGAAATGTACAGAGTACAGTGAGATGAATTAAGATTGAAGGCATGCAGCACTATTTCAATTCATTTTAAGTGATGTGTTGCTAGAAATTGGAATATTGTCAGTAGATTTACAAATGTACCAAAGCTTTAAATTATAGCTATTTTAATGATAATCATCAATTTATGTTTCGTCAGTCTTTCCTTTACAGACGTGTGTTCGATCTGCAGACATGAATTCATGTGAGCTGTGTTGCACTGTTTCCACGGTAAAGGTGGCACCAACTGGAGAAACAATGAAAAGAGCAAACATTAAAAATGCTACCTTGGTGCTTGGTCGCAATGAGTTTCGTGACATCATACTCCGCATAGAGTGTCATAAAACCAGTACTAAGTACCTTATGCAGGACATTACCATTCACAAACGCTTTGTTAAGGATGGTAAGGCATGTATACAACTTCCAAAGCAGAATCTACAGATTATGATTTCTAATTGTCCTCCACACCAACTTGCTGCATTCTTGAAGTGCTTGGTGGTCAAGCAAGAGTGTGGTAACCAACAGAAGCCCATCAGTGAGCGAGCAAGACTGCTGTCAGAACTGCCAAGAAAGTTTGAGGAAATCTCCCCACTCTGTGAGAAAGATGTCATTACGGTCAACAACTCAAGAGCAGAGAAAGCAGAGGCAAAAGGCACAGCAACGACGCCGGCTGGTCCAGCCAAGAAGAGACTCAAACGGTTACGTGAGAATAGCGAATGCTCTGCTGTGAGTTATTGCATTGTTTTCAGAAATACAATGTATATTAAAACCTTCATCAATAGCTACAACCTAGTCCAAAGTTCTTGTTGTATTTTCTTGATGTAGGAATTTCTAAAATAAAAGGAACTACCATTCTTAAATGTAATGTTCCAGACACTTCCACAAATCAGTTTTTATGACATCAGCTGTGACAAAGAGACTGCATGTAGCAAGGATAACCAAGATGGAAAGGAATGTCACAGATATACTTGAATGTTTGACTACTTGGTCTGCTGCTGTGGATACATCCATGTGCTTGGATTTTTATCAAGTCATGTCTTTCAGTGACATTTTGATTAAATGATGCCATCATAATAATAATAAATACAAATGTTGTGCAGTATCCAACATACCCGCAATGACTGATAAATTATATATTGTACATCATAAAGAAATATGACAGTTCATTGAAGTAATTCTTTCCTTTTATGTGTGACGTTATCCCTTAGAGTGAAGATGCTCCACAGAGGAAGAAGCTAAACATCACCCTCAACAAGACTCAGCTTAATCATCAGCAGTCCAAGGTCCTTAATGCTGTCCTGGCTGGACACAATGTATTCTTCACTGGCAGCGCTGGCACAGGCAAGTCATTCCTCCTCAGGAAGATCATCGGAGCCTTACCACCCGAAAGCACATTTGCTACTGCGAGTACCGGAGTAGCAGCATGCCACATTGGTGGGACAACACTACATCAGTTTGCAGGTTATTGTTTAATGTGTTTTCTTAGTAATGTTGCTATATGCCTTGTGCTCATGCAGATACGTGTGTGTGTGTGTGTGGTTGGGTCGTCACCGGACTATGGGACATTTTTTATTGTTGGGGAAATTAGGACCTAGTTATTGGGACTTTCTGCTGTCCCCATAGGGTCTTCGGTCCACATAATACCATGGGAAAACGTGTGTAGTCCCCACAGTTACGGAACAAGAATGTGTGTGTTCACAATGAAATGAATTGTGTACTGGAGATTTCGTGAGCGATAACAAAGTGCCACCTGTTCATGAAAGAGTTCACTTGCCGCTTGTGCCAATGATACATGAATGTGAAATCCAAACTGGCAGGCTGATCAAAAGAATTAACTGACAACAATTGTAATACCCCAAAAATGTTACGCAGTTGTGATCAAAAGAACGTGTAAATATCTTTTCATTAACTGAATTAGCAAGACAATTGTAAACAGAATTTTTTTTTTTCAGGCATTGGCTCGGGCAATCATCCCCTTCCAAAGTGTATTGAGTTAGCATCTCGTCCAGCACGTAAGCAACAGTGGCGGAAATGTCGACATCTGATTGTGGATGAAATCTCTATGGTGGATGGCGATCTTTTCACCAAATTGGAGGTACAGTAACATTGAAAACATGGCACTTATATACTACTGAGTTGTTAATTACGTTAATTAATATTATTCTTCAAAATGTAATTTATGATTCAAGAAGTATTTTATAAAAGTGAGTTCATAAATGGAAAGCCTCTTTAGTTTTGATCCAGCTCAGTTTTGGTTTCAAAAGTTAAACCTTGAATATATATGTACTGCCTCTATTTCTCTAGGCCATTGCCAGAGCAGTCAAAGCCAAGGACAAGCCATTTGGAGGCATTCAGCTCATTGTCTGCGGTGACTTTCTACAACTACCTCCTGTCACCAAACCTGGAGAGAAACGGAAATTCTGCTTCCAGGTATCTCTCTCATACTTCAAGGATAGAATTGGTTTATTGATAATGTACCCCATTCATGTCCCACCCCTTCCCGCCAAGCTGATGAGGTGTGATTCCTCATGTTATTGAAGCACTGTATTAAACACATACAGGCTGAAAAAAAGAGCTATCAACCGTACATGCAAAGCAATGAAAATTGCACTAGTACGACCAAAGCATTGTACGAGTATGATATCTAATCATATAGTCCCATCTGCTTCTTATAGTCCCAAGCTTGGAACAGATGTATTCAGATGACACTGGAACTGACTCAAGTCAAGCGACAAGAGGATCCTGTCTTCATCGATGTACTTCAAAACATACGTATTGGCAGGTTTGTGAGATGTCTTGTTTTGGAAGAGTATATACACTATTAGTTATCCCATGAGCGGGCGTGGAACATGGAAAAATGTAGTGTGTCTGTGTCCCACATGCCATGAGGCCAAAGGCTGAGTGGTAAGTGGAACGCAGACACACTACATTTTTCATGTTCTACGAGTTTGAGTGGTATAAGGACTTTATCCTCAACTTAGAACAAGGATGCTGCACATGAATTTTTCCGTGGCTGTCCTATTACACGTACGTGCAGCATGAATGACGCATGCATCTTGGATCATGCACTATGGATCGTATTGTTAGGTACAATATCACACTGTTGTTGCCATGGATTGACCAATCAGGTTCGAGGATTCAAGTTTGCTTCAAACTAATACGTGTATGTGTAGCTGGCAACTTCCCCAACATAGGTTTTCCCTCTGATATACAAGTACATGTAGTCTACTGGACCACACGTCAGAAGGGTTGTTAACGGAATTATCATGGGCGTCGCGAGGGGGCGGGCCAAGGGGGGAAAAAAGAAAAGAAAAAGAGGCGCAAAGTCATATAGGTGTAAATTTCATGGGTTGGGGGGGGGGGGGGGGGCAAAATGAACCTTCCCCCCCACCCCCCCCCCCCCCCCCCCCTCCCCCTCTGTAAAACTGGTAAATCGAGAATATGTTGAGAACTACAGGGATTTTTTGGCAAAAATATGTTTTGCCCCCCTTTGAAAAAATCCTGGCGACACCCATGAGGGTTATACATGTAATGTAAGCATTTCTTAAATCCACTATTGCATTTCAGAAATTCCTGTTGAAGTACACGTCAGTTAGTTCAATGAAAACAGGCATATCATCTTGTTAATATATTTGAATAACAGAGAGATACAGACTGCTACTACAAAGATACATATGTTTCTTCATGTATGTAAATCTTAGGTGCTCCCAGGATCTGTGTGACCGCTTGACAGCGACTGCCAAACACAGCATTGACCGAAGTGGCATCCTAGCAACCAGATTATGCACCCACAAGGAGGATGTTGATCTATTGAATCAGGTCCACTTGAAGAAACTCACAGGTAAAATTTCCCTTGGTTGAAAGTGAATTGCCGACAACTCGCCTCATCTTTTCACTATGGCTTCTTCTTCATCTTGAGCCACATTTGAGATTTGCAGACAAAAAACCCGTTTTCTGTTGCATTGTACATTGTGAATACTTCGCCATCAGGCTTTAACCAAGCATTGAACTCAGCTAAAGAAAATTTGTACTCGGCTCTATGTAAGTGCAATCCTGTAGATATCGCAGTATTTATTCGAAATTCACTCATAGCCTTTTTCCAAACTGTTGCTGAAGTAAATTTTGACAAAACAAACAGGGTGTGCCAGGATGTATGATGCCTGGGACAGCGACCCCAACCTCGTCAGTGTCATCAACAGTCAGTGCCCCGTCCCTCACAAGTTGGAGCTTAGAGTAGGAGCTCAGGTCATGCTTGCCAAGAACCTGGACGTACAGCAAGGTTTAGTGAATGGAGCCAGAGGAGTGGTGACAGGCTTTGGAGCTGGTGACGCTGGTAAGATGGGTGTAAATATCAATGTCATTGAGCCACGACTACACTGATATGTCTGCCACCATGTTGACAGCTTGATTAACTTTGTTGGGTTCAAATCAGAATTCTAAGGAAACACTTTGTAACCCTCAAAATGTGGTCTCAAAAAATGTGTTCAACTGCCTGTATAAAAAAGTGAGTCTTGTCACCACATAATAACATTTAAATCGATCTAATGAAAAATATATTATTTCTCTATGTATATAAAATAACCATGGAAATGAATGAGTTACTTGAACTAGTCCAGAACTGAATGCTTAACTACACCTAATGTTTAAAATAAAAAAAACCCACAAATTGTGTGGATCACTGACAACAATGAAATGCTTGCGAGTTGACCAAGGTTGCTCATAAACTGCACTGGGATCAGTGGCGACGTCAGACTCTGAATTTTTTTCATTTGACGCTTTGGGGCACTGTTCAAAACCAATTCCAGTCTTAAATATACATTCAGTGTGCCACTGACTTTGATAGAATATTTGCTACAATAATACATGTACTCAAGTCTTGATTTGGCATCGCCGTTTCATATTTCAGGTCTTCCTATTGTCAAGTTCATGTGCGGCATTGAGCAGACTATAAGGATGGAACGCTGGGCGATCAGAGCTGGTGCAGGGTTAATTCTCAGCCGCAGACAACTTCCGCTCAAACTAGCCTGGGCAATCTCAATACATAAAAGCCAGGTAAAAACTATTCAACAGAAAACTCTGTCAGCATGTTTCTAACCCTCTATCCCAATGTCTTTAGAACTACTTGTAATGTTTAGTTTTACCATAGAGCTCCATATTAAATTACTAGTGCGCTAACTCGCTGAACAAATTGAAGCGTGCTGGGCGCAAACCTATGAAAAACTTGAAATGTAGTGCCACTTTAGTACAGCTATTTTCATGTCTGCATTTGTATTCTATACCAGTGCATTATTGAAGCCGATACGCCAACAACTTAACACAAAATCAATAAATGAGTGATTCATTTTGCTCTGCGCAAATAATGCAAACGCCTGCGTTGTACTTGCGCGTTGCCTTTTTTTACATTTTTCAAAATTTATTCCATCTAATCTCACTATGTTCTGCGAACACATGAATTAAAAATGCCTGCACTCGGGATGGCTTCAAAATATATCAGCAGGAGAATGAAGAGTTAGTGCTCTAGTAATTTCATGGTGTTTACTGATATAAAAATGATCTTTTTGATTCTTTCTGCAGGGCATGTCACTGGACTGTGTGGAGATTTCTTTATCCCGCGTCTTTGAATGTGGCCAAGCCTATGTAGCCCTGTCCCGAGCACGCAGTATCCAGGGGCTACGTGTGCTTGACTTTGACAAGTCTTGTGTGCGAGCCCACCCAGATGTTTTGAAATTTCATCACCAGTTGCGTCGAGAGCAGCGCATGATGCAGACTAGTATTGTTGACTATGCAGACAAGGAGAACGTCAGGCCGTTTTATTGAAGGTATCATCTGTACCACTTATTACAGCCAGGGTTAATTTGATTGCAGTTGGTAAATAAACCGATGTCACTTAATCCCATTGGTGGATTTTTGAAAGTAAAAATGACGTGTCCAAATTTCTACTAGTTACAAATGCCTTTTACGCATATTAAAAATAGTTCTACAACTGCAGAACTTAACTCAGAATTATTAAGCAAATAGTTAAGCCAAGCACAGTATGGCCCCATATTCTGAAATATTCCCTTTTCTTTTTAATTGATGGGTATTATAGGCGTTAGTTTTCAAGTCATCAGTCTATTCTGCAATGATAGACAGCTTTCACAGGACAAAAATGGAAACAGAAAATGTTTTCTTACATTTGAATTTCCTACACATTGTTTTATTTTTATTTACAAACAATGTCAGTCGGTTATTACATGAAATTTTTAAGAGCAATAAAGATAATATAAAAAGTGTTGTACTCTATTGATTTGAATTTAAATTTCAGTTTCAGTTTAAAAACCTCCCTTATCTAAAGACCGAGTCGAGATTGCTCACATTTTTTTTATCAGGTTTTTTTTCTATAGCATCCTTTTTGAAATCTCAAATTCCTGAGGTTTTAGCGTAAAGGTGTCTTTATAAAAGTTTATATGTGGCAAATACAGACATATGTCATAGACCCTATGTTGCTTTTGAGCTCTTGGCGACCGTCCAACCCTCTGCCGATTATTATGTTTTTTTCTTTTACCCCATCTCACCCCTATAAAGCATGTGCTTCAAATTTAAATTCACAGTACGAGTTTGAAAAGTAAGATTTGAAGGTTTGCATGGTGAGGATAGTAAAAGTTTATGGTTGCACCTAGTCTTGGTCCCAGACGTTACTATCTGGTGTTTGTTACACATGTACACTTTTGCACTTGAAAAATATTTGATCAACAGAGGGTGCAATTTACAGGACGAGAACGCTAACAGATAATGGTACTGTGGAAATACAGAATCAAATACAAGTCTGAGGGAATCGATACTAGACAAATAAAATCTATCACAGAATCGGATACATTAAGAATCGATAACAGTAAAACAGCGTCCATGTTGGCTTGTAAATAACTGTTTTCTCATAAGTGTAAACCTTGAATTAGTGACACAAAAAGTCTGTGTAATATCCACCTAAATGGCCTACAAAACCATAAAATATGAGATGCAGCCTAATTTGCCTAATGGAGATATTTCAAGAGCACAATGAAGTACAGGGAAAGGCCTAATCATTAAAGTTGACTGTCAACCATAAATTTGAAGCACTTCATGATAAATCCTGAATCCCAATCGTTCTCAGTAATACGTGACCTCAATCAGTCTCAGTCAAACTGAACTCCTGTTGCAGCTTTCCGTCTGTATAACAGAAAGAACAATTATTTTAATCCGTGATTGAATGTGGACATTTCTTTAAGGTACTATCAATCAAGAAGGATATACCTTTTTGTACTTCAATAAAATAATTAAATTATTTATTACCGGTACTATTTTTTTAATTAATATAACTTGAAAGCCCTTACTGCTGGAACTTAAAAATTAACAGTAAATTACTTTACACGAAAGTTTCAAATAAATCAACAAAGATTTACTGTGGCAGAAGTAATGACCAAGAACATTGTCAAGTTTCTGGAAAAATGTTTCAGCAATGACCTGGAAGGTCTCTGCGGCTGTCACAGTGCCTCTTATCTTATAATCCAAAATGTCACTTTTGTTTCACTACATAAGTTGGTCTTGTTTGTGCCAATCTAATTACTACTGATGGCAGAGTTGTCAAAACAAACAGGCTTTGTTCAAGATACAGGCCCGCTAAGAATCTGTGTTTTAATTGGACTCACTTTTTACTGCTGGGGTTGACTATGCTATGACCTTGCTGCTTTTGAACTTTGATTTGTCCCGACCTCTTTTTAGTATCAATATCTGCAAACAAGACATGTAAATAAATTTCTTTGACATTTGAAATCTGTCCTCACATGTCTAGGATCTATTGTGTTTAATTTGTTGGTTGGATAATGCAGAAGTTTCTGAACTTGTTGTCTTCAATAGCTGACGTACCTGGAAGGACTGCTGCAACACTGCTCGTTCCTTTTTGTTTCTTCAGTACACTCAGTTCTTCTTCACACTCTGTGTATAAATAATTCAACAGTTCGGTGACCAATGAAAAACTCTTGTGCTGGCAAGGGGCCTTCCCCCCAAAAGAGCGAAACACCTAAACAATTATATGCACGAAGCTTTAAAAAAAAAAATGGGCAACCAGAGATAGATGTAATTTCAAATCCAATGTTATGAAAGCACGAGTGAAGTAATGTCAGTGTCTGAATTAACTGATGGCTGATTGTCAAGATTGGGGACTGGAAAAAGCATCTTTCTGAGCAAGGTAATCCGAAAAAGAGTCCGTTAGCTTCTTTATTGTTTCCGAGTAAACATTATGAACCCTACTGAAATACATGTTCCCACACAGTGCCCTTTAATTGATAGAGATGATTCAACTGTGAAATATCGGAATAATCACAGGGGGTGAGGTGTGGCCATTAGAAATCAATCAGAAGTGCTCTGGGATGGAAATATTACAGTATTATTGGATCTGTATCATAATTTACCATTTCTTAATGTCAAAGTTTCTTAATTGATTTCTTTGATTCTTTTTAAAATTTGAATGAATTCCAAACAACTCACTTGTAAGTTTATTAGTCACGTCAGAAACGGTGTCAGCCAGCCAAAAGAGGGCGCTCTTGAGATCCGCTTTCCTCTCGCTGGCTGTGGCCTCATATAGGTCATATCTCAGTGCGGTCGACCCTGTGCCTACATCCAAACTAACTTTGTGAGCTTGTTTTGTGACCAGCAGATCACCACTAGTAAATGATTTCCTTGATCAAAATGGGGAAGAAAACATTTTTGATCAGACAGTGAAAGATGTACATAAGCATGTATGAGCAGGAAAACAAATCTAAATATTAATGATGAAACCCATGACAAGAACTGGTATCTGATACGCCTAGTTGAAATGGCTGCTTTGTTTTCTCAAATGAGTGTGCACAAGAAACTCCTCAATTGTTACCAAGAAAAAGCGGTAAGTGCACCAACCAGTGTGCCGTGGTGGGGCTTTCTGCCTGAGCTTTCTTTAGTTGCCAAAAAGTGGCATATACTTCTTTGCACATACACGATGCAGGATGTCTACATCTTGGACTACATATATACCCAAAAAATGACAAAAGGTTTTCAAACTTTCCACAAAGTTGTACAAATTCAGTTCTTGCATGTATGAAACTTGAACGTATTGAAACATCTGCTTACTTGAATCTTGCAAAGTAGGCCTCATAGTTTGCCACTTCTGCTAACTCCCTCTGAAAGGAAACAAATAGTGTCATAGTGAAGCATTTGTGTCATAGTTTCAAATTTTGGTGTTGGTTTGGTCTGAACAGTTTCTTCTGAAACTACAAATGTAATAATCCTGACAGCCACAAAAGATTTTTGGCAACACAATACTCCTGTTTTTGGACTGGCTGTCTCCCTTAAAAAGGAAAAGGGACATGTGTGCAGAGTGGTTATTAATGGCGTCAGAGGTACATGTAGGTCTGTTCTGATCAAGACATCTCTTAATTTTTATATCAATAATTTTCATACATGTATTAATGTAAAACTTGTTAAGTTTTAAATAAATCAACTTTTTACATTTGAAACATAATTTGATTTGCACAGCTGGCTGTATTGTAAGGAAAGTTGAAACGTAAAATCTTGGATAAGACCACATACAATTAAAGAGTTTGAGTTTCTGGTTCTATGCACAACATGACCACCAATAGAATCCAACTTGTTTTACTTACATGAGAGTCTAAGCTCGTCTGATCCATTACTGACCTCCACACATCAACGCCATTTGTTACACTACAAGAATAAATTAGAGCACAAAATTAAAAAAGGCCTTGCAGTTGTGTAATTGAGGACCCCTCTACATCATCCCATTGGGGAGAAGGATGTAAGGGAGTCCTTAAAGTGGGTCATGTTCTTCTTGGCTGTGGCACAGGGGTGTGTCGAGTTTGCTCAGTAGGTGCATCACAATCTGTCAGATGTGAGTCCAACATTTTGCCAAATAGGCTAGGGACTAGCATCAAAATATACATTTAGACCACCACTACTCAGACGCAAGGATGTATAAATTCAATGTTGGACAATGTCAGTGACACCTTTCACTGGGGTCAAGGGTCAGGGGTGCATCACACAATTGATGGTGTAATACACCGACGTGGCACCATGAGCAAGTAGTTCTGGAGGGGAAACAAGTCCCAAATGCATACTGTGGAATGAATTCATTAAAACAATGGCAAAACTAGAGAGACAACCCAGAGGGAGACAGAACAAATAGGGGGGGGGGGGGTGTTTTGGACACACTTTTACCTAGGTAACCCCCCCCCCCCCATGACTGTTGTACAAGAAGACAGAAGACATCGCCAGTTTTTTTTAAATGGCCGCCATTGGACTCGGGGGAAATGACAACCAGTGCCCACCAAGTACCAACTTTATATGGGCTAGTAAGCCAAAATGTTTAAGTGACAGTTTAAAATGTATCGGGTTTTTTTTCGGTTAAAAAAAAAAGAACAAAATTTCAAAAAGGGACAGCCTCCAAAAAAGGAAGTGGTTGGGGAGAATGCTAAACATGTTTTTTTTATTATTTTATTTGGCGTTATTGGTTAATCCATCACACGGACAGGCCACTCTCCCACTTACGCATGTGCAATACATCATCATGATCATGTACAGTAGTCATAAGTCAGTACTATGAATATGATGAGTCCATATTTCATGGAGTTGGATATTCACGCTACACCGGTCTCATTCATTGTACACATACATTTTTTGTACTAAACTAAAGTAAAGCACAGTCTAGTCATGGAGCTACTACTAGTCTGTACCGAACGTACAGTCATGACATTGACAGTCACAGTGTACAGCGCAGCAATACTGAGCCAATGGCAATAGCCTAGGTCACACAAGCGCAGCGGGGCTTCTCAAGCTAGTGTTTGTAGGCCAGACCCAAAACTCACTGAACAATCCAACAATCGCTCGAACAAGACGTGTAAATCAGAAAGCGGCCAGAAATGGAATCAACCACAGTCTGTAGGTTGTGGCCTACGTCCCCTTCTTCCGCTAAGGATTTGGCAGACGACATGGTCGGTCCGTCCGTGAAAGCAAATTAAAAATAATATACAGTGCATATTTATAGCGCCCTCTTGTGAGCTTTAGGTCGTCAAAACTAGCGCCCTCATTTGAATTTGTCGTGTTCAAATTAATTAGGCCTACAAACTTCTACCAGTTTTTATTTGTTGTAATTTTTAACGAGGGTTGTCCATTTCGGTTAAGATAACCTGCTTTCCAAAGTTCCGCAAAGTTCTTTGAAAGAAGCTTTCCCTTAAGTTGTCAGAACGGGAGTTGAGTCTCATGAATGTGTTGATGTTATTTGTGCCGTGTTGTACGGAGTCTTGGTTGGATCATGGAGGAATTGGATGTTGAGTCTCGGGGATTGATATTTCGAATTCGCCTTATTGCGGACGGCTTTGTAGACCATGGTTAAGCGGAAACATAGCCAAGGGAAGGGCATTAAACATAACAATTAAGACTGCATAAACAAGTCACACTAATTTCATTGGAAAGATATAGCAACAGTAAACCCAATGTGAACTTTCTGAATGTTTGGTGGAAATAAAGAAGCCTCTGATATCCGCGTTATGCGTTCAAATACCTCTGATATCCGCGTTATGCTTTCAAATATATTGACACCATCCACATAGGAAAATGCCATGGTGGGCAAGATTACCATATGCGAAGTTCACTGATTTTCCTCTGTATTGATTAACAAGCCCCCAGATAGCAATTTCATGTCATCAAAGTCAATTTGAGCAGTGAGAAAATACAAGCATTTTCTTAGAAAACACTTACAATTTTTCAGTCCAATCTCATAGGGTTTGTACACAGGGTGTTGAGTGAACTTCGTTTATATGGAAATCTTTCCCCATGGTGTCCCAAATCTGCCATCTCGCCTTACAAATCTCGCAGTCACTGGTCTCGCATCTGCCGCTTGGTCGTTTTGTCATTCACAGACGTTGACAGCGACAGCTGCGCAAGCACTTGCAGTGAAGTGATTCTTAGTGACGACGACTCAAAATCATGAATCAAGCTTAAGAGGGCAAATCTCGAAAGAGAGTCACGCTATAGCTTAGATGCATGTTTGTGATGTAATTATATCAACTTTGATGACCCGCCCCAGCTCCCTAATACACGAGCACATTTCGAAAAGTCAGGGGAAATTGGCCTGGAAATGCCTCAGATTGCATCCAAAAGTTTCCCTAAAATCCTAAAATATAAGAGTGTATGTAAAGATAATCAACCGTTTTAACTCGTTTTCAGACAATTTTGTTGGAAGATTGCGCTGCGCGAGAAACAAAATACTCACGATCTTTCACATACAATTTTCCCGTATCCAAAAGTGCTATAGTGTTCGGCATCATTTCTGGCCTTCTTCAGGCGTCAAGTGCAGACTTCATATTCATGGCTGAAGATAATCGCACTGCCAGAACACCGGGCGAACCCCTTCTAGAACTTCGGGATAAGTGTTACTGGGTTCTTTCACGTGCATTATAGAGCACGTGACCTTACCTCCCATCCGAAGGACGAAGCAATAATGATTAAGTGCCTGGCTTAAGGGCACAAACGGCGGGCTGGCCACGAGCGAAGCCAGCTGTTTCCGATCATTAGTTAGAGGGCGCTATATCTAAAAACAAATACTCCAATCAAAGGAATGAGGGCGCTGTTGCCTGTAATTTAAATTACTTAATATACACGTGGCGCTTCATATCAACAATTAAGCGGCCGAATCAACGGGGCGCCGAAGCATGCGTATATGACGATATACAAAATACAAATTGTGGTTATATCCTGTCGTAATTCGATCAAGCACATAAACTTCCCTTCATCAATTCGTCAGAAATTACGGAAGCGTTAAAGGGACATAATACAAACTAAATAAATAATAATAGTTATAATTATGAATTTATATGAAGTCATAATCATGAGATTTAAGTCATTATTATGATTGAATAATTGCTAAGTTGTAATTATGAGATAAAAGTCATAATTAAGACTTAATACTAAGTCATTATTGTAAGTACATGTATAAGTCATTACAATGTCTTAATAATAAGTCATAAGTATGATTTTTTTTAGTTTGTATTTTGTCCTTTTAACGCCTCCGTAACACTGGTGAGAAATAGAAATTGCTGCGCTTTTTTGTCATGTCAAAATCTGGGAACCAGACTAATAAAGTAATAGTACATAGTAGTACACCATAATGACGTTCGCCACAGACTTGGGCATTTTTTCTGAACTTGGATGATTATTTTGCGCTACAAAAATCCTACAAATCATCTCTCAAGGTTGACTGTTTTGAACAGAACTCGAGGTGTCCTAAAGATAAGGATTACCGACTTCAGGAGTAACACCACCGAGAGTTCCTCCCGCCACTGGCACGGGATATGGACATGGACGAGCCGGCTGAGACTGCATTTGTGACTTCAACCGTACCGTACCTCCTGACAAGATTCTGTCAAGTTTTACGTGCATGAAAAAAACAGTGAACTGAGATTTGACGGGTCAATTAACTTCCTCCATTCTGACATTTTGCATTTGGAACTGGAAGGTTGAACATGTTGAATCATGCTAAATCTGCAGTCTGCACTGTTGTGTTGCAGTGCATGCGAATAAGGTGAGTGAAACATTGATAACAATGATATACGCGCTCCTATTTTCCTATATATTGCAAGGCGTGCATCCTAAAAAATGACATACTTTCACTGGGGTCATAATCTTTGGTGCACGAACCTTACTGCAGCAGCCGAAACAAATCACATATATGCTTTACCGGGAATTCAGGCAAAAAATGAAGGGGAAAAAAGTATGTTTTTTACAGCTATTCCTGCAGAAATAAAAACAATGACAGATAGTGACCTTTCTTGGTCTCCCACTGTCGTCAGTATTAAAGTTAATATTTTGGAATTTTTTGGTCACAAGTTGTAAAATCCGACATCTTGAAAACTGTCTCTGTTGATTGGGATGATCATAATAACAATATTATCGGGATAGATACATTTCCTAGGTAAATATGTATAACATGTATTTAGCCTAGGCCTTTTGTATAAATTACCAAAACGAGGATACTGAACATAATCTGGGGAAATTACGAAAAGTGTATTGGCATTGAAAAAAGAAAGTCAAAAAAAGCTAAAATATGTTTGAAAAGCTCAAGGAAATATATTTTCCTAAAGCCAAGAAGTCTAAGTTATAAAAAAAAATGTGAATTGAGTTACATGACCCGTACAGCACAGATTTTTCATGAAGCGTCCCCTGCGCAGAATTAGGCAGGATTATTGTCTACAACGCCAAAACTGCACGCTTTGGAATTCCCTGCTTGCTGCCACATGGTATGGTGGAAATATTTTTCAACTACATGTACATGTAATTAAGTACTCCAAATTTACCATTTTTTCCCAGTCCAAATTTTGTTTGCTAAGGACTACCGAAGTGTGACATCATTTAAAACTGGAAAATGAAGTGCAATTGAATGGAGTACGCGCGCGTGTTGGTTCACGGGCTGAATCAGGCGCTTAATGACTTTAACACATATTTTGTGTGCGTGACGTATTCACTTTGGTTAACTCCATTGGTTACAACATGTTCATGAACGGGTGCAAGCCACCTTACAATCTTCTGGCATCTATAAATTTAGTATCCATTTCATCTTAAGTGGAGTCAGGGAACCAGACTTCCTTAACATTTTGTTTTTTTTATTTTTCTCAGCTTTTTGAACACAAAACCTCAACCATGTCTGTGAAATAATATTTGATCTATTGCAATATACTAACCCTTCAAATAAATCATTTCTGAAACTACAGCCAAAGTCAATGATGTACATTCCCTTTAATATGTATTGTATTAAAATATGGAAAATATAAGTATATTAATGTATTAATATACTTTACAGTACAATAAATTATTTTGTAAAAAAAAAGCATCTTTTAAGGTGTGATAAATTTCAGTAAATGTTCTTTGTACACATGCAAGTTATTTCTGGCTTGATGACGTCAGTATACAAAAATGGGAAGTAAATACTGTATTTACCTGTGTCCTCCATCTCACCAATTATCTTTGCCGGGACGTGGAGGGTGACAGAGCAGGGAGCTGTGCTACCCGCTGGTTCATAAATGCTCCCTTTTTATGTCGAAGGATTTGTCCCAACTGGCCCTTGAAACTATTGACTGTTTTCACTGAGATAGCTTCAGGAGGTAAACTGTTCCATGTCTATGATTCTCTGAGAAAAGCTGAATTTTCGGATGTGTTTGTAGATCTTGAATTGATGTCCCCTACTTGTTGAGTTGCCGAATGAGAAGAAATCACATGCCCTTAGTCGCTGCATGCCCTTCACAATTTTGAAGACCTCAATCAGATCTCTTCTGAAACGACGAGTCTGAAGGCTTGTGAGTGACACCCAGCCTGTCCAGCCTCTGTTCGTACGGTAGGGGGCCTAAGTGTTGGAGCTCTGGAATTATCTTTGTGAAGCGACGCACAACTCTTTCCAGGACATCTACGTCTTTCTGTAACTATAGTCTCCATTGCCTGCATGGGAATTTGCTCGAAATGGGGCCAGATGAGTGACTTGCACAACTTCAGCATGATGCTTGCATCTTTGCATGAGAAGGTACGCTTGACCAAACCAAGGATACGATTGGCTTTGGAAGCTGCTGCTCCAACTTGCATGCTGACACTAAGAGACTGATGAATTATTACTCCTACATGTAGGTCCTTTTCTTGTGATGTAGATTGGACTGGATAACCCCCATGAAGTAGTTGATCTGTAGATTTCGGTGCCCGAGAGAAAGACATTTACATTTCTCAGCATTAAACAACAAATGCCACTCCGAAGACCAATGATGCATGATATTAAGATCCTCTTGTAGGTTGTTGGCTTCCATTGCAGATAAAACCTTACGAAAAACTTTTGTGTCATCTGCAAACTTTAACAAGTGACTGTCAACTTCCTGGCCGATGTTGTTGATGTAGATGATGAACACTGTTGGCCCTAGGACAGAGCCCTGTGGTAACCCACTTTTCACTCAACTCCAGTTGGAGCTGCAACTGTTGATTATCACACGCTGTTGAC